AAGACAAGGCAAGACATGACCGGACGCGCCCAGGCAGCGTCGAAGTCGGCCCAAGAGGGCCCAGATGCGACCTAGGAGGGCCTTCGAGATGCCAAGCTCAGTTCAAAGGCGTGAGGGACATGATTGAGCAGTGCTCGCCCGCCTGTTTGCTTCAGGAAGACCCTCGAGGCTTCAAGTGGCCCCAAGACGGGCCCAGGAGGCGACCAAGACGGCCTCAGAGGCCCCCAAGAGAGGCCAAAGAGAGCCCCAAGAGGGTCCCAATCCCATCCAAATCTTTAAAAGGTCTGCATCACTCAGCGCCCTTGGTTTCCACAGGCCCACGGACGGCCCAAGGAAGGTCCCAGAGGCGCCGAGGGGCCCCAAGGGAACCTCAAAAATGATCCGAGGGCCATGAACAGGGCCCAAAAGTGCTTCGAGGGCCCAAAAGGTGCGCGCGGTTCACTTCGTGGCTGGAATTCCGCTCCAGAATCAGACGCGGGCCCGGGCGGCACGCAGTTTTCCAGCCGTTCCGCGTCCGTCTCTCTGCGGCGGGCCGGTTGGTTGCAAATTTGGCGAGACAACAGTTTCCTCCTACATTTTGACGACGCTGCGGACCAAGTCCGCGAGCTTCGTCGGGCGAGCCCAGGTGACCTGCGCTGGGGCACGCGGGCGGGATGGCAGCGACACGCCGCGCAACGCATGAAGTTGCAGCGAGCGGGCTCGGCCGGTGCCTGGGCCTGCGCCGTGCTCCACAGAAAAGTCGGTCATTGGGCCATCCTGCTATTCCCACGGCTGTGCGCTCTCAGCAAGCTGCGGCGCATTGGGCGCACCCGCCAGCCTCGAGCGTGGTCCTCCGTTTTCCGCCTTTGGTGCAAGGGTTGGTGCACTAGTTTGCGCTTCGGCGGTTGCGGACGCTGCCACTTCGGATGCCAGAGGGGCGACGACATAGTCGCACAACCAGCCTACTGCCCGGTGGCGCGGCGCCTTCTGGGCGACGTCGGGCTCACAGGGGGCATGGACCTTGTCAGGCCCCTGGGGACCAGGACGCAGATAAACCCGGACACGTAACACCAGAGAAATGACACCTTTTTCCTGCAAAGTCACATTTTCCAGCACCCGTGTTTTTTTGCTTGTTGCACTGCAGGATTCGGGTTTGTGTTCGGGCTTTGGGGGTCTTGCAGGCTTTTAGGGCCCGGGTCTGGGCTTATTTTGGAAATGCTCCAGTGAAGTATTTTGTTCGTGCCGCCGTTTGGAAGAATTGGTTTCAAGGAGTGTTGGGTGTCTGGGTCCAGCGTGTCCGGATTTACGGGGCCCTGAATTTGGATCGGTTCTTCAACCTGGGTGTTCCGCGACCGAGCGACGAGACCACGCAGCAGTGTTGTTGCACAATGTCCGTCGATATGGCGGCGTGGATGTCGTAGACATCGGCGACGCATTCAAGGAGTTAGTCCGAGGGACGTCGTGGCATTGAACCGCCAGAGTTCGAGTGGACGATGCCGCTTGTCTGTTGTTTCCCATATCTTGCCTCTTGCCTGCAGCATCGCTCAGGATGTATTTGCTGTTTGTGTCCCTCCTCCTCCTCCTCCTCCTCCTCCTCCTTCGCTAAAGATTGCGGTGTGCCTCGCACCCAGGGCGTGCGCGCCTGCTTTGCGGCGTGCTCAAGCATCGAACTTCCCGGCCTGCGCGGTAACTCACGGAGTTTGCGGCTGGGCTTCAATTCCTCCTCCTCTTCGTCATCCTTCTCCTCCTTCTCTCCCTCCGCCTCCTCGGGGTCGATACCGTCGAAACTGTGTTGCCGATTTCTCTGCGCTTGTGATGCCTTGGTCACGTGGGCGCCCAGACTGACAGGCAGACGCGCGATGACCGCCGATGCTAACAAATATGTGCCGTTGCCCTTTCTCCCACTCCCAGGATGCGCGCGACGGCTCGCCTATGGCAGGTTGGCGCGAACGCCGCCCCTGATGTTTGGATCGATGATATTGTTTCTTTCTTCCCCTCCTCCTCCCCTTTTCCGCCTCTCCTCGTTGTTTGTTTCACGGGAGCCTGCGTGTCATGTGGGAAAGCAGGCTATCGGCCACGCGGCCAGGACATATACTTGCTTTTAGGGACCGAGTCTCGTGACACAAATTTCGGCTGGCTCTGCAGCCGAGGGCGGATGCACAACAGTTTTTGCTTGGTGGAATCCCCTCCCCATCAGTTGGGAAACTGTTTTTCCCAACCATCCTGTGGTCTTGGGTCCTCGTTTTGAAGGGACGTCGCCCCGCGTTCCTCTCCTCCTCCCCGTCCTCCCCCCTCCTCCCTGCGTCTCACCCACCCAGTACAGCGTTTCGTGGCCCCATAGGGAGCTCCACCTACCGAAGGCTCCAGTGGCTGCGTTCGCATGGCGGCCCCGCCCCATTTTGGCGCACCTCTCACGAGGATCGTGGCCCCATAGGGAGCTCCACCGAAGGCCCCAGTGGCAGCGTTCGCATGGCGGCCCCGCCCCATGTCGGCGCACCCCTCACGAGGATCGTGGCCCCATAGGGAGCTCCACCGAAGGCCCCAGTGGCTGCGTTCGCATGTGGGCCCCGCCCCATTTTGGCGCATCCCTCACGAGGATCGTGGCCCCATAAGGAGCTCCACCGAAGGCTCCAGTGGCTGCGTTCTCATGGTGGCCCCGCCCCATTTTGGCGCACCCCTCACGAGGATCGTGGCCCCATAGGGAGCTCCACCGAAGGCTCCAGTGGCAGCGTTCGCATGGCGGCCCCGCCCCATTTTGGCACACCCCTCACGAGGATCGTGGCCCCATAGGGAGCTCCACCGAAGGCTCAGTGGATGCGTTCGCATGTGGGCCCCGCCCCATTTTGGCGCACCCCTCACGAGGATCGTGGCCCCATAGGGAGCTCCACCGAAGGCCCCAATGGCAGCGTTCGCATGGCGGCCCCGCCCCATGTCGGCGCACCCCTCACGAGGATCGTGGCCCCATAGGGAGCTCCACCGAAGGCGCCAGTGGCAGCGTTCGCATGGCGGCCCCGGGCCCTTTCGGCACACCCCTCACGAGGATGGTGGCCCCATAGGAAGCTCCACCGAAGGCTCCAGTGGCAGCGTTCGCATGGCGGCCTCGGGCCATTTCTGAACACCCCTCACGAGGATCGTGGCCCCATAGGGAGCTCCACCGAAGGCCCCAGTGGCAGCGTTCGCATGGCGGCCCCGCCCCATGTCGGCACACCCGTCACGAGGATCGTGGCCCCATAAGGGAGCTCCACCGACGGCCCCAGTGGCAGCGTTCGCATGGCGGCCCCGGGCCATTTCGGCACACCCCTCACGAGGATCGTGGCCCCATAGGGAGCTCCACCGAAGGCCCCAGTGGCAGGGTTCGCATGACGGCCTCGGGCCATTTCGGCACACCCCTCACGAGGATCGTGGCCCCATAGGGAGCTCCACCGAAGGCCCCCAGTGGCAGGGTCCGCATGGCGGCCTCGGGCCATTTCGGCACACCCCTCATGAGGATCGTGGCCACATAGGCGCTCCACCGAAGGCGCCAATGGCAGTCTCCCTCATGGCTCTCAGAACCCTTTCCTGCTTCTGCTCTTCGGTCAGGGGGACGCCGTTCTCGTGGTAGTCGGCGCCCGCGAAGACGGCCACAAACGTGTCCCTGAGCATGTCGGGCTCCGGCGGGAAGCCGTGGCCGCACAGGGAGCGCGGGCGAAGATGGTATTCACAATTGCTGTATCCACAATTGCGTATGGTTGGGTCCTTCGCCAGGCTAATTTTGTTCCAGCGCTCTCGGAGTCTGGACAAAATCGCACGGCCCAAATAATTACCCAATGGGATTCAAGGGAGTCCCCGTCATCCAAGTGTCTATTTCAGAGCAAACGAATCTCCATCAACCCCCGAAAGCCATTCCAGCAGTGTTTGAAGTGAGCGTGGGAAAGCGTCGTCTTCCTTCTTATCCTCCTCGCGCTTTTCTTCACAGCAAAGTGTCCGCAGCACCGAAAGATATATCCCAACGATGTGGCCCCGAGGGGGTTCTGATCTGGCCCCCCAAGGGCGCTTCAACGGGAGGATCATAACCGCCCCGTAAGAGACACTTCCAGGAAATTAGGAGAGGCCCACCAAGGCTGACCAGGGGCGGTGCCAGCCGTGCCAGATTGCCAAACATATCCAGCACACGGGCAAAAGGGGAAATGTTGCGACGCGGGGGGGGGGGGGGAGAAGTAAACCGTTCGGTAGGCTTTTCCCCGAGGAGGAAAAATGTGAATAAGGAAACGCTCTAGTTCTTTTATCAAACTGCCACGAGATTGTGGTTTACCTCTGGCGCGGCAGCGGTCCCAACCTGGACAAAGTCCCTTTTGGTCCCCCTCTCCGTGCAACAGTGAGTAATTATCGTACGAACGGGGGGGGCTGGACCCCCCACCACATGCTCGTGCTCGCGCACATACTACGGCGATATCAGTACTAGTTGACGCCTTTTTTCTAAGGGGGGCGGAGCCGAGGGAAATGGGGAGCGCTGCCTGCCCGCTAAATGGGATGTCTTTGGATGCCTACAGAGGGCCCCAGCGCCCAACATCCTCGTATTCTGGGCTTCGAACGTCGAGTCTCGATCGACGACGACGACGACGACGAAAACGAAGACGACCAACACCACGACGACGACGAAGACGACGACGACGACCACGACCACGACCACGACCACGCACACGACCACGACCACGACCACGACCGCGACCGCGACCGCGACCGCGACAGCGACCACGATGACGACGACGACCACGACCGCGACCACGACCACGACCGCGACTGCGACCACGACCGCGACAGCGACCACGACCACGACCGCGACCGCGACCACGTTCACGACCACGACCACGACGGCGGTTGGTGGCGGAGGCGATGACGACGACGGCGACGGAGCCGACGGGAGGGGGGATCTTGCTCGCCCCACGAGGTCCCCGAGGAGGGCGGTGGGGAGGCGCCCCCGGACGATGCGCCCGCGGAAGCGCCCGCGGAGCAGTGAGAACGCCAGCCGCCGAGCGCCCAAAGGGCATCGGAGGACTCGGGGAGGAAGGGGGGCACGACTTGGGAGGATCCAGGGTTGAAACAAAACTTGCCACCTCCCCCTCATCCTGACACCCCCTTGGTTGAGGGCGTTCACGTCACGACGGATGCAACCTTACCCCCCTAGCCAACTCATCATCGTCGTCGTCGTTCTCTTGCTCCTCCTCCTCCTCCTCCTCCTCCTCCTCCTCCTCCTCCTCCTCCTTGTCCTCGTCGTATTCCTCCTCCTCCTCCTCCTGCTCCTCCTCCTGCTCCTCCACCTCCTTCTCCTCCTCCTCCTCTCCTCCTCTTCCTCCTCCTCCTCCTCCTCCTCCTCCTCCTCCCCTCCTCTTCCTCCTACTATTCCTCCTCCTCTTCCTCGTTCTCCTCCCTCTTTTCCTCCTCCTTCTCCTCTTCTTCAGTCAAATAGGAGGGGTCGCCTTTGTTTGGCCCGAGCGTCGACGCATATCCGTCTAAGCAGTAAAAGCCCCACAATCTACAAGTTATTGCCGCCATGTTTTCTCCCGTGCAGCTCCATATCCCTGCAATTCTTGACGCTTCGCGTATCCGTTTCTGTCGGTCAGCGGTGGCGGCGGCGCCACCCTCTCCAGCGTGGTCCACATGTGCCGGCGCACTGCCGGGATCCCCATCGACGTCAGCACCGATGTCGATATTCACGCCTGCGCCCACGCTGCCATCAGTACCATCGGACGGCGTCGGAGCCTGCCTGCCTTCACGCCTGGGGCCTGCCCGCCGTTCGCCTGCGCCGCACGCCTCGGACGGCGACGTCGCCGCGCGGGGGCCGCTGCCTGGCCCATCTCGGTGGTGCACGCGGACCTGTGCCCGGGCCGACTTCAACCTGATGGCGCCCGACATCCCGCGCCTGGGCGTACGCGCTGTGTCAGCCCCGCCTGGCCCGGAGGCGACGCGCACGTCGCCGGCGGAGCTGTACTTCCACTCCCACCTCCGCAGCTGCGCCGCCAGCGCTTCAGGGGCCTCTTGCACGGCGGCTAGCCCCCTCGGTGACGCCATGCCCATGGCTGCATGGCCGGAGGCGCCGGCGGCGGTCGCGATCCCGCTGAAGAAGATCTACCGCATGTTTTGGCCGGTCCTTTCGATGACGATCGACGGCGCTTACTGTCTCGTGCACCCTTTGCCTGGACTGCTCGTCGCCGCTCTCGGGTGGGCCCCTCATGCGTTCGCCAGCGCGTGCTTGGCCGAGTCCTTTCACGCCACCCTGGGCCAGACGATCCCCCGCGCGGTCGACCCAGCCTTGGTCTTGGCGGCCTCCTGCGCGTCCGCAGTCCCAGTGAAATTCTTGGCCTTCGGGGCGGCGGTGCACGGGGCTCCTCTGCAGCGCGTCCTGGCCGGAGTTTGCGGCGCCGCTCTACTTGGCGATGTTCATTTTCCACGGGTTGTGTGCATTTCCATCACGACAATTATGACAGTTGCATTGAGCCCAGGATGGTATTCCACACATTTGTCTTCGCCAGCGGCATGGGTAATTAGGACACATTGCCTTGCTCGTCCACGCCGTGCAGTCCCCAGCTTTCCCCGCAGGCCCCAATGCCGACGTGTGCGACTCGTGCCTCTTCGAGCGCCAGCGCTGCATCTGCCGCCGAGGAGCAGGGAATCGAACAGGACCTCCGGAGCGCGACCGCTCCACCTCGCCTCGACGAGTGGCGCCGCCGCCTGGGTCGGCAAGTGCATCGAGTGCGGGCCCCGCGCAGATGGAGACGGAGGCCGCGGTGTCGGTCAGGAACACCTTCGTGGAGGTCGGCGCCCGTGCTTCTCCGGGACGCCGCGCGCTCAGACGCAACCGCACGGAAGGCGATGAGCCCGGCGACGACCCCCTCCTCCACGAGCGAATCAACAGCATGCGCCTGGACGACACGCGAGACATGGACCAGGATGCGGGCGTGCCGCTGGCCGAGCAACGTCGGCGAGCAGCGCTGGAAGGAGCTGCCCCCTCGGGCGCCCAGCAGCCTCTGGCCATGCCGGCAGAGGGGGGACCCCGGCACGCTGCGGAGCCAGCCGTTGCTGCCGCGCCGCCGCCGGCCGCGGAGCCGCCGCAGCCAGCCCCCGCCGCGCCCCGCCCTGCAGCCCGACGGCGGCCCCGCGTCTACTGCCCAGTGCCCGGTTGCCCGCGCGCGGATCCTGCCGCCTCGCCAGGGTGGTCCTGCCAGGAGAGCATGAGGGTCCACTTAAACGAGCACGCGGCGGGCCGCTACCCCAACCTGCCGCCCGTCCCGCAGGAGTTCCTTGACCAGCACGCCCTCGGCCAATGCTCGGTGTGTCAGCGGTTCCTGAGTCTGCGCTACCAGGGAGTGTGCCCCAGGTGCCGGCCAGCGGCGCGCGCAGCGGCCGCCGCGGTCCCCCAGGCCCTCCCGGCCGACGCTGGCGACGCGAACGGCCAGCCAGGGCTCCCTTCGCTGAGGGTGGTCTTCTCCAGCCGCGCCGGCACGAGGCGCCACGTGCCCAGGGGGGCCAGGGCGTTGTGGGCGCAGTGTTTGGTGCAGGCCGTGGCGTTGGCGGTCCACCACAACACCGAAGCAGCTTGGGTCCAACTGGCCATGCTGCCCAAGTGCGTGCTGCGACCGCACAGCCGCGGAGGCCGAGGCAGCCGGAACGCCAGCGAGGAGGAAGCCAAGAACCTCTGCCGCCGCTGGCTGGAGGGAGAGCGCCAGACGCTGTGGGCGGAGACGACAGAGCGGCGCCAGACAGGGGGAACGGACAAGGCGACTCACCGAGCACAGCGCTGCCTCGACTTGGCTTCGGAGGGGCTTTACTCGAAAAGCTGCGCTTCGCTGACGTCGGAGCCGCCCGTGTCCGTCACGCCGGCTGTCGTGGACCAGATGGGCCGCAAACACCCCCGCAGCCAGCAGCCGGTTGTGGACCTGGCTAGCCTGCCTGCTGTCCACGCGGCCGCCGCAGCCCAGGTCGACGTCTCTGTCGTCCAAAAGGAAGTGCGGGCCTTCCCCAAGGGCTCGGCCGCCGGCCCCACTGGCCTGCGCCCGCAACACCTGCAGGACGCCCTGGCGACGGCAGCCCACAGGGACGAGGTAGTCGAGCAGCTCGCTGGCCTCGTCAACGTGCTCGCGCGCGGCCAGGCTCCGGCGGCGGTCGCGGCTTACTTTGCTGGCGCCTCGCTGGTGGCTCTCCCGAAGAACGACGGCGGCCTCCGCCCGGTGGCCGTCGGCGAGACACTTCGCCGCCTGGTGGGCAAGTGCCTCTGCAAGGAGGTCGCCGGGGCAGCCCGCGACCGCCTTGCGCCCTTGCAGGTGGGCGTGGCCGTCCCGGGAGGCGCCGAGGCGGCAATCCACGTGGCCAGGCAGTGGTTCCCGCGCAACCTGGGCGACAGGGACAAAGTTTTCGTGAAGTTGGACCTCTCGAGCGCTTTCAACACCCTGGACCGGAGGGCCGTCCTCAGAGCAGTGCACGAGGACTTTCCCGCACTGGCACCTTGGGCGGACTGGTGCTACGGCAGCCCCTCGCTACTCTTCCTCGGCAAGCAGACGCTGCGCTCCGAGTGCGGTGTCCAGCAGGGCGACCCGCTTGGCCCGCTGCTCTTCTCCCTGGCACTCCAACGCTGCGCGGAGACGGCGAGCCGCAGCCTCAGGGGGCTTGCCCAGGACGCCGGCCTGGACCTCGTCTTTTTCTACCTGGACGACGGCTGCGTGGCGGGTGACAGACAGGCTGTGGCGCGCTTCCTCCACCTCGTCGCGGCCGAGCTCGCAGCAGTCGGCCTCGACCTCAGCACGGGGCCGGGCAAGTGCGAGGTGGTCCCTTCAGCGGGGGCGGACAGCAACGCGTCCGCGGCGGATTTCCCACCGGGCTTCCGACTGCGCCCCGACAGCTGCTTTGAGCTCCTCGGCGCGCCCATCGGGAGCGACGATTTCTGCCTCCAGCACGCGCAGAAAAGAGCGAAGAAGGCAGCGGAGCTCCTGGGCGCACTGGCCGGCTTGGAGGACGCGCAGGTAGCCCTTCACTTTCTCCGGCAGTGTGCCTCCTACTGCAAGCTCGGCTACTCGGCGCGCGTGGTGCCGCCCTCCGCCCACACCGAGGCTCTCCTGGAGATGGACGCTGCAGTGCGCTCCTGCCTGGAACAGCTGGCCGGCGCTTCCCTCACCGACGACTCCTGGGCCCAAGCGCAGCTGAAACTGAACAAGGGCGGCTTGGGGCTGCGCTCCGCTGAGAAGCACTCGCCGGCGGCCTACTTGTCCTCGCGCGCCAAGAGCAGCGAGTTCTGCCGGTCCATGTACGCGGGCTACACAGACGACGACGCGGGCGACGCCGGGGCCCTGGCGGCGGCGCTCCAGACCCACAACGCAAGTGTGGCGGGGGCAAACCAGGCTGCGCGCTTCGACTGCGAGACGCACTCCAACCAGAAGACTCTCTCGGACCAGGTCGACGACGCCGCGCGCGCCGCCCTCTGGGGCCGCTCCTCGGCCGCGACGCGCGCCCACCTCGCCCTGGTGGCCGCGCCTGGCGCCAGCGCGCACCTGCAGGCGCCCCCCAGCGAGGCGCTCGGCACAGCGGTCCCGCACAGCTTGATGCAGATCGGGATCAAGCGACGGCTCCGGGCCCAGCTGATGGGCGAGGAAGCGTTCTGCCCAGCGCGCGGGGAAGTCATGGACGCGCACTGCGACCACGCCTTGACGCGCGCCTGCCAGGGCGACCGCACGCGCCGCCACAACAAGCTGCGGAACGGCACCTTCTTTGCCGCCCAGGCCGCTGGCTTCTCGGGGGCGGAGCTGGAGCGGCCCGGACTGCTGCCGCCGCGGGCGCCGGGCGAGGGGCCGAACGCCGAGGAGCCCGACGGCGACGGACTAGACAACGACGGCCGCCGGCCAGCGGATGTCTATGTCCCCCGGTGGCGCGGCGGGCTCTCGGCGGCCTTGGACTTCGCGGTGACGTCCGGCCTGCGCGCGGACCTCATCGCGCGCTCCGCCGCTGACCCGGCCGCCGCCCTCGACAGGTACGAGGAGTACAAGCGGCAGCACCAGGGCACGGCGCAGGCTTGCCGCGACGCGGA